ACAGTTCAGAAGACGTGAAATAAAGTGCGTGCATCCGTAATAAAACGTCCCTCACACGGCTCCAGGGGGTGAATAAAGGCCCCCTGTAGCGAATCCATGCATTTTTGTAAGATAAATATCCATATTTCAAACGTAATAAACACTTTTTTCTCACTTCCGCTGACTGTCATACATGGAAGCCGTTCCGGCAGATGACGTAAGATGTCGGCGTTGCATGATTAATGACGAACGTGGAGACAAAACAAAACAAACACCGTTCACGAATTAGAAGCACAAAACGAGGATTTGTAAAGAAAAATGTTGGAGGATTTCGATATAAGCCAAGAGGAGACTGGTTTTCCTTTGCTAAAGTAAGGAAACTTTGTTTCCTTTGCTCCTGCATTTCTCATTTCTCTTAAATCCATGTTTCAAGATTGATGTATTGCATCGTCAGGGTTTGTAATCGATGCATCGAGAAAACGAGTGAATCGTTACACCCCTACTCAATACCATGACAGAGGTGAGACCCTTGAGCAAGGCACCGAACCCCCAACTGCTCCCCGGGCACCGCAGCAATATGGCTGCCCACTGCTCGGGGTGTGTGTTCATGGTGTGTGTGTGTGTGTTCACTGCTGTGTGTGTGCACTTGGATGGGTTAAATGCAGATCACAAATTCCGAGTATGGGTCACCATACTTGGCCACACGTCACTTAACTTTCACTTTCATACATACACACACAAAACTAAAATAAATAATTATATTCTGCAAGAATGAATAAAATTGATCAAAAGTGACAGTAACATTTATAATGTTACAAAAGATTTTCAAATAAATGCTCTTTTTGAACTTTCTATTTTTATCAAAGAATCCTAAAAAATAGAATAGAATATTTATTTCAATAAATTAAAATAGAAAACACATAAATTGTAGTAATTTTCACAACATTTTTTATTGAATTTTTGATCAGTTAAATGCAGCCTTTGTGAGCATAAGAGCTCTTTCAGACATTTGAACGGTGCATCATTATATGTATACTTGATTTACAATATAAAATGCTAACTAAACAATAGTGTAATAATATAAGATTTTTTGCCTTTTATTTATATACTTTAATACAATTAAATTAAATTGCACAGAAGCATATTTTGCAGTGTGCCCTTGTTTGTCTTTATGCAAAATAAAAATTTTCAATTAAATGAATGTTTTTCATTTTTAATAGATATTTTTGCATAAAATATTACCCAGACATTTAATCAAGAGATTAAATTGTTCCACCATTAAAGGATTGTTCATACTTGCAACAATTAAATCACTGGAGGTCACAGTCTCACTGTACTGTTGGTTGATCTTTGGTGTTTCTAATGGGTTCCTTATCAGACCAGTTCAGACAGTGGATCACTGTCTGCAGTCTCTTTGGTGATTGTTCAGTCACATTGCTGCTCATAAACTTGAACTACACCAATGGCCACTTTTGCTCATGTGACCAGAAATGAATTGCTTTTTTGCTGTGAAACCTTTTTAGTATGAGTGTGCTGCTAAATTCTTTTAGCTCTTCATTTAGCAGCTGCCTTTTTGTTGTATGCAGCTGCTAAGATGATGGTCTTTCTGGACCCCTCCTCTGAGGGGATGGCTGTTGAGCTGGCTACCTCTTTGAACGAGTCCCTAACTGGCAGAACCATTCAGGTACAATAACCATAAACAGAACAGTATAAAATTTGTGATATTTCTCATGAAACGCTTAATGCTACATCTCTCATATTTGTATGTGTGAATATTAGACGTGTACCGAGGTGCTCCAGGCGTTGAGGGACGGCAGTCTGGGCTCTCAGCAGGAGAAAAATGTTGAATCGTATCGTGCGTCTTGCCATGGTCTCTATCCCTATGCTTTAGCCTTCATGCCCCCCGGTTACCAGGACAACTCTGCGGTGACCACCAATGGAGACCTGTCCCCCTGCGACCATGAGGACATGCCCAATGAGATGTGAGCATTTCAGGAAAGGAGCAGGGTGGCCGTTTAATGGCCGTCAGCATTTTGAGACCAGACGCCCCACTGAGGTTGAGACTCTACTGCACTAACGAGACCACGGTTACCTTCCGCCTTCACTTCCACTCACGGAAGCGAGTGAGCAATAAGGGGAAAAACCCGTTTTACTATTTTTTTTCCCCTTTCTATCTTGTTGTTTTGCTTTTGTTTTTTTTTAATACGCCGTTTAATGGCCGTCAGCATTTTGAGACCAGACGCCCCACTGAGGTTGAGACTCTACTGCACTAACGAGACCACGGTTACCTTCCGCCTTCACTTCCACTCACGGAAGCGAGTGAGCAATAGGGGAAAAACCCGTTTTACTATTTTTTTTCCCCTTTCTATCTTGTTGTTTTGCTTTTGTTTTTTTTTAATATGGCCAATGCCGTCTCTTATGCTAGAACAGAGTAAATGGTATTAAAGAGAAATATTGATCAAGATGGTCACAGTGAACTCATTGGACCTAATTCCTGTTTATCAGACACATGCATCTTGCTTCTCATGTTTTTAAGAGTAATTTATATAAGACGATATTAAAGAGAACCGAATAATATCAGGAATAGCAATACTTTTGGTCCTGGTTTGACTTGTGTGGTCGTGTGCCAAACCTGTGGGGCGGATCTTTAGAGGCAGATGACGGCACCTGTTGCGAGGGTACCTAGGAAGGGGGGTTGGGGGTGTGGGGAGTGTGTGGCAGTGAATTACTGTGTCTGGGAAGAAACGGTTCCAGGATCAGCCACCAGGGGGAGCCAGCAGTCGAAACCCACCATGTCTGCTGGGAGGAGACACTGATGTTCAGCCAATAAGCTGATAACAGTCAATTGAAAGGTCACCTGGAGTGCTGAGGAGAGGCAGACGTGCATCTCTAATTTGTATTTTTTCCTCTTTCATCCTGTGCTGCCTTTTGGTTTTTCAGTGAATGTCTTAGAGGTGGCAGTGGCTTCTGTTGGACCTGTAGGACTTTTACTGTTTCTGTTGGGTTTATTTGGAATCTTTTTTTCCCCCTCCCACTCATTGTTTGGGTTCTTCTGTTGGTTTCAAACTTTGTTTGATTTTTTTTTCACCATAATACAAAACTACATCAAACGTACCACTGTCTGAATTCTGAGAACATGTCCCGTCATTTGACACTCACACAGTTACAAATAAAACAAAATAACATGACTCTGATGTATTTCTCTTTTTGTTTTTTCATTTGCTCATTTGGTTGTACACTGTAAGATGCGAGTTTCATCTCTTAAATACAGAACGCAAGAATTTGCAGGGGTTGCTAAAGTTAAACCAAACATACTTGCTGGTGAAAAGAGCTGGAATTTGTACCTATAAGTATTTATTTTTACTTTACTCATTTGGGCTTTACTTTTATTGGTTGTTTGCCAATAAGATGACTTTAAAATATATTCAAATGAATTACAGCCTTGATTCCTGTGGAATAGTAGTGGTTCTCAACATTTTAATCCATGCCCCCCCCCTCATTGTCCACAACAATATTCATAGATTTTTCATTGTTTGTTTGTGATTTACTGGATATAAATTAAGGATACGAATTCTGTTACTCAGAATTTCTACCCTGTAAATATTTTAAACTTGGAATAGCTATAAAAAATTTATATTCATTATAGTAGTTTTACAAATGTATTGATATCCATTATTTTTCCAGGTCTAATACACACACATATATATATATATATATATATATATATAAATTGTTTCCTTTTTTTTTCAAATAGTTGTTGAGAGGCTAAAATAAAAGTCATCTTGATTGATTGATTTAAAGTTGTTTTGGCTTATTGGTATATTTTGGCTTTTAAGTCATCTTGAGGTCTCCTGGTTGAGAACCACTGTGCTATAGGTAAACTGAAGTACATTTCCTGTCCTTTTTTAGACTGTTATAAACCATCTTCATAATTATTTGTCTAAAACTTAGGTATAGAGAGTTTGAGAGTTCACAAATGTTAAGACAACAAGCGTTCATGGTTGTATTATTATGCTTGTGATGTAGAAGTAATTTAGGCTCGTTAGAGTCTGGCTTTGGGCACCATGTCTGTCTGTCCGTTCTCATGTTGGCTCTGAGAGCTGAGGAAAGTGTGGTCCAGGTTAAGGTATGTGGTGAGGAACTCTGGGAAAACATTCTTCTGCACTATTTCTATAAACATGGACACCGCAGTCATCAACCTCTGTTTGTCCCTAAAAAGAGTGGAAGTAGAGAAAAGGTCAGTATTTCTCAATGTGAGTTCTTGGGCAATCACAGAGGTCCCATAGCTCTGTAACAGATTTACAATGTAAACTACTACTGTATTTGTTTACATTAGACATTAGATTACATAAAATCCATTAAACCTGTATTTTTTTAGTCACATATTTGCTTTAATTTTTGTTTTCAGTTTAGTTTTTATTATTATTTTTAGTAATATTTTTATTTCAGTTATAGTTTAGTAATTTTAGTAAGTTAGAACTTCTTTCAGTTAGTTGCAAAGGCAACATTTATTTTCATCAAGTTTTTTCAAGTTTGTATTTACATGTGTATATATATATATATAATATATATATATACACACACACACACTTATATACACACTACTGGTAAAAAGTGGGATCAGAATGATTTTTAATGTTTTTTACATGAGTTTCTTATGCTCATCAAGGCTGCATTTATTTGATCAAAAATACAGGGAAAAATGTAATATTGTGAAATATGATGTAAAATAATGTTTCTCTATTTTAATATACATTAAAATGTAATTTATTCCTGTGATGCAACGCTGAATTTTCAGCATCATTACTCCAGTCTTCAGTGTCACATGATCTTCAGAAATCATTCTAATATGCTGATTTATTATCAGTGCTGGAAACTGTTGTGCTGCTTAATATTTTTTTGGAAGCTGTGATACTTTGTTTCAGGATTCTTTGATGAATAAAAAGTTAAAAAGACACAGAAATAAATTATATTTTAAAGGATATTAAAATAGAAACCATTATTTTATATTGTAATAACAGTTTGCAAGATTACTGTTTTTTCTGTATTTTTGATCAAATAAATGCAGCCTTGACGAGCATAAGAGACCTCTTTAAAAAACATTACAAGTCTTACTGATCCCAAACTTTTGAACGGCAGTGTATATATTGTTTTAGTTAATGATAACACCGAGTTAGACTAATAAGGTATAGAACATTGAGAAAGAGTTTAATATTCATATAGTACTTTATTTTATTAGTATACAATTAATTTTTTTTGTAATATTAACATTTTTTATTTATTGTAATTGAACTATTGAACAATGATTTCTTCATACTGTCTCCAGGGACATCCTGTAACCATTGTAAAATCACTGTAATGCATGGTATTTTGTTGTGTGAATCCCACTTCATTTTCTGGTCACTATTTCTTGTTCAAGTCCAACAAATGTTTTCTCAATCCAATTTATGAAGCGTCTGTACAGCATTCTCTACCTGCTTGTTTGGCAATGTATGGCTGCCTTCAGATCTTCCATCAATCCTTCAGCCAAACTGCTGACAAGAGCTCGGGTCACCACTGTCCCATCATCCTCCAGTCTCACTTGGTGCCGGATCCACTGCCAAACCTGACAAATGCAGCCTCTTAAAGTAAGAGATAATATCACATTGTAGCATGAGAGCTGGACAGTGTTGTGAACCAACCTGAGATCTGGATATCTCTGCTGTTGCTGAATCCTCAACCTTCCCCAGATAGAAAAAATGACCTCTGCCTGTTGTACTAAGTTAATATTAATAAAACCTCCATTCATCACATAGCATAAAAGTGTTGTTTAAAAAGGTCATAGGTGAAATAAAATTTTGCACCTGAAAGCCAGGCTTCAATGAAGAGGACTCCTACAGCAATGTTATACCTCAGTCCGTACAGTGTTACTCCTCCCTATAGAAATATAAAGCACACAATACAAAGGCAACATAATTTTCACTCACCACACATTTATTAAAATGTTGACATGATTTGCAGTGATAGAATTCAACTGACCGCAGGCATAGTGAGCAAGTCTTCAGGGGTCACAGTGATGTCTTCACGCAGCTGCAGGAGTTGATTCTGACCATGAGAGTGAAGCTGAAACAGCTGTGTGAGAGAGAGAGATGATATGTTTTCTTATGTATATACTGTATGCGAGTGCTGTGATGGGGAAGTCTATCAATGACTAGACAGAAATGAACAACTTATGTGAGACACTTACTTTTTGCATGGGCTCAATCAGGTCCATGTCGTAGACCATGAAGCCATCAACTCCTGCCTTGATCTCCAGTAATTTAAGTCTAAAACAAAATAAGAATGATCATTTGTATGGAAAACAAATACAGATCCAAAATTGGTTGAGCTGTATTGATGTATTTCTTTGATTCGCACAATAATATATTAATGTTATGCATACTAGTAATGCGTTATATTACTGCGTTACAGCAAAAAGTAATATACTACTGTAATATTATTACTTTTGTAATGCGTTACTCCCAACACTGTCTATCAATGACTAGACAGAAATTAACAACTTATGTGAGACACTTACTTTTTGCATGGGCTCAATCAGGTCCATGTCGTAGACCATGAAGCCATCAACTCCTGCCTTGATCTCCAGTAATTTAAGTCTAAAACAAAATAAGAATGATCATTTGTATGGAAAACAAATACAGATCCAAAATTGGTTGAGCTGTATTGATGTATTTCTTTGATTCGCACAATAATATATTAATGTTATGCATACTAAAATGACTATGACTGTGAGCCAAGAAAAACTTATCAGTCAAATAACTAGATAAATACAATCTGTGATGAATCTGGTGCATGCCCATGCAAAACAGGCCCAGCTAACAGGGAATGTTCTTAGAACATAACTATTTTTTCCCCCACTGCATTTAGAAAAAGGATCCTGACCAGGTGCAGAAGGCAGCAGCAACATTGTCTTTAACCCCAGTGGATGCTTTGGTTGCATTTGAAGATGAGATGATGTCTGCAAAGTCTTGGGTCAGTGCACTGGTGCTGTTTATTTTTTTTGCACTAATTTTTAAACATTTTCTTGTCTAGACTTATTTGGTGAAAAGTCTGATAAGATTTTTTAAATGTCATTTTTTGACTCTATATCGCACTGGTTTTGTTTTATGTTTGAAAACATCTTGTGAAGTAAATGTATTTCAATAAACACTTAATAATACCCTCCTGCTCTGTCATCATTTCTTTGTACCAATGTTAGTTTTGCTTAGTCTTATGTAACTTTATTACTTTGAGTTTGATGAACTTAAACCATTTAAGGCAATCGGTTTCCTCAAACCATTTAAGTAAATATATAGTTGTTAAGACTTAGTTAGATTTGTTACCTGAACTCAAACTGACTGTGTGAAATAAACTTAAAGTCTTTAAGTTGAGTTTATTCTAATGATTGACTAAACCAACACTTAAAAAATATAAGTGAATTTAACTTAATGTATATGAGTTTACAGTACTCATATTTATTGGTTTTAAAACTTAAATGGTTTAAGGCAATCGGTTTCCTCAAACGGTTTGAGTTACCGTAACTTGTCGGGTTTTACAGTGTATAGATATACTGTTTAAACCATTTAAAATACTGGATACTGGATATTTTAAATGTTCAGAGAACATTTAGAAATAATGTTGTCATTAATGTTGTCAACTTAATGGGAAAGTTAGCATAACATTGTTTGAACATACTTAGCTGGGTTACAATGTTGTGGAAAAAAGCCAGGGCATCCCTAAGTAGCTGCTAAGGTAGTCTGGGTTGTTTTAAAGGCATGCAATTGCTAGGGTGTTCATGATGTTTGTTAGATGGTTTCATACAGTTCCAAGTCTGAAGAGCCCACCACCAAGGCTCTATTATATTGTGGTCTATAGATTTGGCTTGTGTCACTTACATTGAATTTTCCCAGTTTTATTGTCTGTAAGGCAACATTTGTCAGCCTGATTGGTGAATTATTTAAGTTCCATAATACATCTTGGTGCAGAATACAGGTCAAATTTTAATACTTGGGGTTATGGAGTTGTTCAAATCCCCAACCCTAAGTTTGATCGATATAATAGTGATGCGGCCTTATTAGTATCAACGAAAATTTATTAAATTTCGATTAAATCAAAAGCAATTAAGTATTATTTCATGTTTTATTCCATATTAGGATTTAGAAGTATGTGCCACTATATTTAAATGGTTTAAGGCAATCGGTTTCCTCAAACGGTTTGAGTTACCGTAACTTGTCGGGTTTTACAGTGTATAGATATACTGTTTAAACCATTTAAAATACTGGATACTGGATATTTTACATTTGTCAGCCTGATTGGTGAATTATTTAAGTTCCATAATACATCTTGGTGCAGAATACAGGTCAAATTTTAATACTTGGGGTTATGGAGTTGTTCAAATCCCCAACCCTAAGTTTGATCGATATAATAGTGATGCGGCCTTATTAGTATCAACGAAAATTTATGAAATTTAGATTAAATGCAAAAGCAATTAAGATTATTTCATGTTTTATTCCATATTAGGATTTAGAAGTATGTGCCACTATATTTTGATTGCAAATATGGGTTGGATTCAAATCACTACAGAGCTTGTATTTGTTCTGGGTGTGTCTTGCCTGGTGACAGTTCTGAGTACAGTCTTGTAGAGGTCACTCTCTTTGTCTCTAGGCAACAGCAATGCTGCCATGCCTCCTGTTGCTAGGGCACCCCTGCGGTGACACGTCTGCACTAGAAGATCCATGTAGCTGTGCAGGAAACGCTTCTCCATATCCACATACTTACTGCGATCAGGGAGGAGGAAATCAGCCCGATGACCTAGAAAGCAAACCATGGTCGCTAATGAGGAATTTGATTGAGTCTACTAGTCAAACTTGCAGAAAATGTATGTGCTGACCGAATTTGTTGACAAAGGAAGCTGAGTAATCCCAGATGCCACAGTTTAGACCAGCAGAGTGCTCCTTGAGCTCGTACAAAATCTCCTCCATCTCGAACGATGCCAGGACACACTCGATCAACACGGTGGCCTTTATACAGCCCGCTGGCAGGCCAAGCTACAAAACATTTTAGAATACATTAGAAATAAAATTCATGGCAGTTAAAACTGCAGCAGGATCATATGTAATCTCTGTCAACACTCGCACCTTCTTCTCAGTCCAGAAAAAAATCTGACTCCAGAGTCTGGCCTCCATGTAGCTTTCAACCTGCACAACAAAACATGAAGAGTTTCTAGAATATGTTTGATACTACATTGAAGTTCTGTTCTGTTTAACGGAGCAACGTGATCTGACACTGACCTTGGACAAGTAGAAAAAAGGGCCACTCTGGTTTTGAAGAAGTAGTTTTGCATTATGAAACATCAGCAGACCAAAATCAAACAATGGACCTGGAACCTCTCGACCATTCACCTACAAAGAAACAGATGCGCATACACTTCACACTACCAAGAAGGATATTTTAGTACTCAGGATTAGCTCATTTACAGTTAAGAGTTATCTGATTTATCTTTCATTTTAATCTGAATCAAATGTTTCTCCAAACACCAATTTGGAGAAATATAAACAGACACAAATGAAACAATTACTGACATAAATTAAGAGTAAAGAGCAATAACATGAATGTGAAGAGTTTTATTATGAATGGCTTTCACTGAAATCTTTTGAATTTAGATCTGAGTTTTAGTCATTTTTGAAATTTCATTTGAGACACATGTGAGGCTATGGGGCTTTTTTCATAGAATAACAATCTAAAGCAGGAAACAAGCAAAAGTCTCCATTTTCTCTATATTTACACTTAATGCTGTCTGGGAGAGGGAGCTAAAATTTTTAATAAATCTAATTTTCTTTTCTAAAGGAGTGGTTATGAATGATTATAATTTTAAACCAAGGAAAACCTTACAATAGATCATTAAATCATTATAAGGTGAAATGTGAAACTAGATCAATTTCAAACAAACCAACACGTGGTTTGGACAAACAAACAAAAATGCAGAAATAATCATCTGTGCCATTAAACCAGCTCGCTACATATCTATACCATGATATTGTGCTCCACCATGTTCCATGCTCGAGGGCGGAGCATCAGCACTGGAGCCTGAGAAATGGGTGGTACATCTATTCAAAAGGAATATGACAGATTGTTACCACATGCTTTCCATACATCTCTGATGGGATTCTTGTGTTAAAGAATATTTAATTCATTACACTTCTGACAAAACAATTAGCAGAAGTTAGAATCATAAGACTTACCCTGAAACTGGTTGTGCACAGCCTGATAAACATTGTAAATGCCCTTTATTTGATTGCGATATGTTGGGCAGTTGCCGTCATCAAAATCAATCTACAACAGAACAGAACAATAATACAATTACAACCAGAAATGTCAGTGTTTGTCATCTTATTTGCACAACTGAGTCCTACCTGTAACCCTTGGGCAGTAGATTTGAGTCCTATTATAAGTCGTTGTGTATCACAGGGTGAAAGGTCACCAACGTCCACATGTCTGCAGTGTAATCGGTCTGGAACTGGACTCACTCTCCAGCTGGGATCATTTCGGATGTGAGCTGTGTCCTTTAGAAAGCCTGGCAACTCTCCAGTCAGATCCAACTGAACTTTCCGGAGGACTCGTAAATTCAAAACCTTGTAAAGGAGTGATGACATCTTTTGATGAACACTCATCCAAAAAATAAACAAACAAACAAGCAAACATTGTTATGCTAGCCTATATAAGTAATTTGGGTTTCCTTATTTACGGGGTTTAATCCTAATATAAATTATATATAAATTCAAGTGGTTTCCCGATAGCCTACCTTGTCAACCTCTGCTTGGAAGGTAGAGGTGAGTTCAGACAGAAATTGCAGAGCATCAGAATTAAAAAGAGTATGAAACTCTCTCTCCAGTCCTGAGGGAGGCGTTTCCAGCTCAACACCTTGATGTACCTGTTTATCAGCACATTAAATCTACATGATCTCCAGACACTGACACCGAAACATCATTTAGTTCTGCACATTACCATTCACTGAGAGACACATGGTGACACAATTGCATATGTATAAATACATACAAATATAGGAACATACTGAAAATATATATTTTAATGAGTGTTACTGTTGTTTTAAAGCAGGCACACAGTATGAGAACTTACCAACATTTTCCGCAGTCGTCCAGTAAATCTAGAGTTGGACTTTGATAAGTATCATTGCACTGTTTACTTTAAGCCACACATGACTATTAGTGTAGTGAGGTTTCTTTCGTGAACGAATCGGTGTTTTTAACAAAGCTTTTAAGGGAACGAATCAGTAAACAAACTCGACTAAATCTTTTTAGTGCAATTCTCCTGCAATATTAAAAGCACAAATATCAACAAAGTCACTGGAAAGTAAAAACTTCCACCCCCTTTATTAAAATAAATTATATTACAATATAATATAATAACTTCCATATTTATTTAGTTTGTGTGTTTTGTGTACTCCGTTTGCAGTAGTAAGTTTCCGTTTTGTTAGGCTACGCTCTTTTGTGTGGAAGCTATATTGTGTGGAAGTACCAACCATAATGCTCTCAGTATTATGTGACTTATCGCGAGATTACAGTTATGTCAACGTCGTACGTGGCTACAGACCCAAACAGTGTAAGAAGACTCCGCCAGGAATGCATCAGCAAAATGCGGAGTCTACCGGTCAACACGTCAAATACAGTCCCCGACGTTTGAAACTCTGAGTTTTGCGCATAAAGCTTGAGGTGAAGGGCTGAAGGTTAAACTAATCCTGCGTTTGAATAATTTATTTGACCCGTTAGCGTCAGTAGCTACATTTGCACTGTGCCATTCCGTGAGGCACTTGTTTGTCTATAGGAAGGCAGCATGGCAGATATCGAGAACTCCTTTGAATTTGGCTCATCTTTGACCTGCTCTTCGCTGCCTCCCCCACGGACCCGAATCTTTAAAATCATCGTGATCGGAGACTCTGGAGTTGGCAAGACTTGCCTCACCTATAGATTCTGTGCGGGCAAGTTTCCAGACAAGACTGAGGCCACTATCGGGGTGGATTTTCGGGAGAAGGTTATTGAAATAGACGGAGAGAAAATCAAGGTGAGGATGCTTCTGATTTCAGGTTATTTTGCAAAATGGCTCCAATGTGTGTTAATGTCATCCTGTAAATCCTGACACATTAAATAATAGTCGGAATTTTTAAAATAGAACAGTTTAACGTTAGACTAAATAGATATGAAAAAGTTTGCATGTGTTTTATGTTTTGTACCATATTTGATACATTGAGTATGATTTTATTCAGAGGCCCAAAGTGAGAAAAATATGCATGTTGGGTAGATGTTGTTATTTATATGGCTAAAGGGTAAGATGAAAATCTGATATCCTGTAATGTAAATCATTAAATCAGTTACAACAATGTAGCAGAATACTTCAAATGTGTATAAATATCAGTTGTCAATATGAACTATTAATTAGCGTGCAGAATGCATGTACTAGATTGTGTACAATATGTTTTTCAGTTCTGATCTTGTTGAAAATGTACATATACAATAGGCTTTATAAGGTTGAAGAGATGGCTAGTGTAATGCAGGGTTAGACTTCTTATTGTGACTCTATGCATTGGTGGTGCACCATTGCATTGGTCATAGTAGCCTTAGTATGTAACTAAATGTAAATTTCCAAAAACTCTCATGCACAAAACCCACACTTTAATCATAATACCTACCTGTGTTTGTCATTTATGCATGAACACACCTTGCATTCTCCTGCAATGTTAAAAGAACAAATATGCATGGTATGATATAAGTTGACTGCTAATAGATCTCCCTTTTTCCACTCTACCAGGTCCAGTTGTGGGACACCGCAGGCCAGGAGCGCTTCCGAAAGAGTATGGTGCAGCACTACTACCGCAACGTCCACGCTGTGGTGTTTGTCTACGATGTCACCAATGCCGCTAGTTTCCGAAGCCTTCCAGCGTGGATCGAGGAGTGCCGTCAGCATGCCCTGGGTCAAGAGGTGCCCAGAATCTTGGTTGGCAACAAATGTGACCTGCGCCACGCTGCTCAAGTAAGCACAGACGTAGCGCAGCAGTTCGCCGATGCACACTCAATGCCTCTGTTCGAGACTTCTGCCAAGAACCCCTATGGAAACGACGACGGTGGTCGGAATAATAGTGACCACGTGGAAGCCATTTTTATGACAGTGGCGCACAAGCTGAAATCTCAGAAGCCACTGGTGTTAAGTCAACCACCGTGCAGATCAGGAGATACTGTCACTCTCAGGAGGCAGGACGAGGAGGACAGGGGAACATGGGGCTGCGGTTGTTGAAGGAGCTAATGAAGGAGTCACCACTTTACAGGATGGAGTTGACAAAGGTGAAGCACCTTTTAAAGAAGCAGATTCAAAGGCACTTTTGTGTCATCTGTGAAGGTCCAGGTCAAGGGTTGAGGACACAGTAACATCTATTCTCAAGATTTCTTTTTGTATCTGATGTGCAGAATCTGGCCATTATTTTAAAGGGAAAAAACCTTCGTCCATCACTCAAACCAGAGGCTTTGAGAAGTTGCATGTAGGCCCATCTGCCTTACATATACTGTTCAAGCTTTATCCGTTGTGTCAGTCTGTCTAGTTCATATCATATGCCACTGCCAAACACTCACTACATTTGCCTACTAGTTTTAGCCAGTTATGCAGTTCTGTAGGTGAATTGAACGATGAAATCATCGTACGCAACATGTTGCTTTTTTCATCATATTTTAGAAACAATATTTTGCCACAATTACATAAACCGTTCTGTTAAATCACTTCAGCCTCCCAGGTGAATCTGGTTTAGTCTGTGTGTTTGTTCTCATTCTATCTCACCCACACACACTAAATGCAGGTTATTTATTAGTGCTGCTAATAGGTTTTAGACAAAACGAGGGATGAATTTAAAAGAAAAAAAGCTGATATCCTTGCCTTTCTGAAAAAGCCAGTCCTAGTCCACTGCCATTGTTTTATTTTTGCCAATTTATTTCTTCCTAACAGTCAGTCATCTGGATAAAATCTCCTTTAAAGACATCTGGGTTATGCATGATAACCAGTCCTTCCTGTGAATCATGTTAAAATGTAGGTAAGTTAGGTTAAAAAAAAGGGACAAGAATTGGCTGACAATATTTACTTCAGTATCTACAGTCAGGTTTTGTATGTAGTACTGCTTTGTTAGGCAAAATGAAAATGATCTGTAGTGTCTAATCGCAGATTAGTACGAGCATGACATAAATCTGAACAAAAGGTCTGATATCAGTGTGTATTTCAGTATGTAATCTGTCAGTACAAATATACAGATATGCTAATGACTAAATTGTCTTTCCCTTCGGCTATCTTCTTTCCAACACTGATACGCAGAACGGAGTTGAATCCATTACAGGGAATATTCACTCATGTCATTATGTAACCACAGCTGGTCCTGTGGAGTGCATGAAAGAAGCTCAGGATATACATGCTTTATTTGTTTTATGGGAAATTGCCAAAAAGAGGGTTTGCATATAGATTCTGGTAAATTTTTTGATGTAGGTTTTGTAAAGGGCCTGATTAGCTGATGCTTTGCATTGTTTGATTCAGGTACAATAATAGGGGAGCATGTGATTAGTTGAGGAATTGTGCACAGTTGATGATGGCTCTTAAATCTTTAAATGCAACATAAATGCATACTAAGACTTATCTGTTTGTGCTTAATGATTTGATCCTGGGTGCTTACAGAAGGTTTATATCTTATTTGTCTGCCATAAACATCATGAGCATTCATGATTTTTGTAGGTTCATGCTGAACTGGTCTTGATAAAAACATACTCTTGGTCTGGATTCTCTTCATTGTTGTCTGTACTGATTTTTCTCTTTTCAAGTGTCAAGTTTCAATTGTCACTTTTCACCATTTCAAGTGTCCTTCAGAATTTAATTCTGTATTTTTTTTTTCTGTTTTCATTAACACAATAACACCGTTAACAATGTAAAATATGAGCAGATCTCAAAAATCCACAAAAACAATGTTACAGCTGGAAATTTCCAAATGCAGATAATATATGGAAGATTATTAACATGCTTGTTACATTTTTGTTATTTGTAATTGTTTCTTATTCTTGGGATAATTATGCATCTTTGCAACCGAAGTGTATGAGCCAATTCATGGTATCAGGTCAGCAGTTGATAAAATAACACCTTGCTGTGCCTGAACTCAAACATGCACAACATATCTTTACTAGTCATTTGTCTGATACAACTCATGCCTTTAATGTTGGTCAGTGAGTGATATAGTTTTGAGAAAATAAACAAACCATCAATCCACTATAATCAAAGGAGTACAAAAGAAATCAATGCTTGTGGTTTTGGTTTTAACGGTTTCAATGTTTTACTAAAAATAAAGTACCACATCTATTTTCAGTTGACGGGTATTGTGCTTTATTTGTCTAATTAAAGAGTACATTTGGAAACTTAATGTTCAGAAACTAGAAACTTATTTTAAAGTAATGACATTGCAAAAATGATACTGTCCTTTGGTATGTTATCATAATCTGAACATCCATTGAAATGCAATGGTCTGTAAATTCATAAAGAGGCAAATAGGATACTTAATTTGTAATATATTGTTTATTGTAAAACATATACATACAGGTTTATGTGTGCAAAAATATCAGTCTATCATGTAAAAAGTATAAAGCCAAGGCACATGCATTAAGAAAAAAAACACACTGAAAGATATAAAATATGGCACTGATGATAACTTAAACATCAAGAAACAAATTTAAGTTGATTTGAAACAAGCAGGCTTGATGAAATCTTTATGGGGAAAATTAATGAACTATATTTCCCAATATTTCATATTTTCCCCAGACACACACGCACATCAAAAATAATCAATTACTATGCTAGTCTGCTATATGGTGGAAGCATGGAAAGGTCTTGTTGTTCCTGTACAGGACAGTGATCCATGAAGGACATGGGGGAGTTAAAGATTCGCTCATCTCCATCTGCATGAGAAAAAATAAAATCTCATTACAGTCAGCCACATCCTCACTAACATCATCATAATGGCATACATTGTGGCTCATATTGCAGATGACTTATGAAATATGATTGTCATCTCAGTGTACAAACCTACTCCAACAAGAACACACCTCTCACGTACCTTGCCAAGAGCATACAAGTTCAGTTGGAGTAACAGGGTCATTCTGAGGAACTAGAAACTCCTGTAAAATACACAACCATGCGGTAATTAACAGCTCAATCTTGTATTCAGTATACTAACTTTAAAATACTGAGGTTTTCTTGTGTTACAAAAGATCTCACCCACCATGCCATTTGCGGAGTCGTAGCAGCCGCAAAGCGGCAGACTGCGGCAGCCAACATATGCAATGAGAGAAGAAAAGAGCAAGGACCCCATGCAGGCCACCAGAAGGGTGCTGTTTGCTCCTTTCACCATCCGGCTGAGGACAAACCTCTACACAGGACACAGCTTTATCAAATACTTCTATATTTTTAAGCTGAGTGTATAACAGATGGGAAAGTAAACATGGTTGGGTGTGACTGTACCACTTCAGGGATAGGGTGGGCATGGAAGATCTCATCATCCTCTTCTCCATAGCTGAGAGAGACGCAAGCATAAACGAAGACAATCACAACAGCAAAAAGCAACATCACAGATGATGCGATCATGACATTTACCTAAAGGTATTAATGAGAGCGTGTTAATATCAACAGGTAGAAAGAGACAACTGTCAGGAAAAATACTTTGGATTAGACAGATAAGAAACTACCAAAATTGTTTTTTTCTTCTGGGATGCAAAGAGAGCAAGCACACCAGGGGCAGCCATAATCTAAAAGAGGAGGAAAAAGTTAAATTAGTTTTACAGAATCATATGGAGCCCCTCAAGGGTGATGGTAAATAAAATGAGATGGGAGAAAAAAAAAATACATTTCAATGCTTTTGTATTTTCTCGCAAAACTTTTGCATTCCCCTAAGAAACTTCAGGTTTGCTTGCAAACCTTTGTGATGGAAATAATATGAGGTGGGAGGAAAAACTATATTTACAGGGCGTTCGCGAGAGAATGCAGTTTCTCAGGGGAATGCAATAACTTTGCAAGAGAATGCAGAAGCATTTTTCCTACCATCACATATTTTTTTTCCATCGCCAGTCCCGTTAGGGGCCTTGTAGAATCACCATCTCTCAGTGCACAAAGATGCTACAAGAGGATGAATACAGGTTAAGAGGGACACCTAGGCCTACCCCTCTTTATTATTATTGTATCTAATCTTCTATTACTAAAAATCAGCATTAATAAGTTCATCCTATACCCAGGGCAGGACTTTGGGAGGCGGGGGCCCCTGGGCTTGAGGTTATGTTTGGGCCCTATACCTACACTACAAATGCCATCAAATAGAACATCATGGAGTAACACAAAATACACAAACATATGCTTTGAGGTTCATAAATAGTACAATTAATATGCAACATGTCTAGGCTATAGTCAAAGTTTAAATGTAATATTAAATATTCATTATAATATAATAAACAGGATGTGTTCTCCTCTTTGAGAGATCAAAACCCTGAAATTACTTGCCTTGTCCACTGAAAAAAACCCAGAGATGTTGGCTTATTAGTATTATAAAACTTATTGTCACATCTGTCCTCTTATGTCAGGTTCTTATTTAATCAATAAATTAAATCGAATAAAAAGACATGCTGGCTATTAACAAATGATCAAATGAAATAAGCTACTTTTTTAAAATATGAAACTACAAGCGCCAGTAGGTGGCAGCAAGTGACTGTCAGCAAGTTAGTGAGTTGAATCAACCGATTCGTTTAAAAAGCTGATTCTTTTAACTTTGCAAACGACTGTACTTATAGCCTGATTGAATAATTTCAATTGCTGGCCTGTGTAACGCTGAGGAACAAAACACTGTTGTTCAGAGACGCAGTGGTTCTGCTGTTTGTTCTATTTTCTTTCTGACGGAGCAAAACGGAATTTTGTGTCTGAAAGTTACTCTGTAAGTTGTCGTTTATTGTACATTTGCGATCTTGCAGATATTCGAGAAAAAAAAACAGGATCTTGTTTGTGTGATAGGCTAAGTTATGTTATAAAAACAGAAACTCATAAAAACAGGACTCTTGTTTGTGTGATAGGCTAAGTCCTATATCATAGCATAGCTATGTTATAAAAACAGAAACTCATAAAAAACAGGACTCTTGTTTGTGTGATAGGCTGTGTGTAATGGCAGTAAGACGAGAGAGAGCGCTCAAAACTCATCAGATGATGCATAATTTAGTGGGACATTAATATATAGAAACATCCTCTGTAAAGAAATGAGGTGTGAATATTTGAGAATTTATCATTATCTTTCTAAATGTGCGCTCTTTGGGGCTAAAGGCTTAATGGAGCTGTTTTAAAGTAGCCATGTGATAACAAACCGATCGGTGCAGACGCGATTCAATAACGTTACGTGTGTCCTTCTTCTATGTGAAATAATCATAAATACCAGTTTATGCTATTTGTGGCCTCGAAGGTCGTAGTTGTAGCTGTAGCCCCGGCTGGCCCGTTTAGATCTTGCGTGCGCAGTGGAAATGCGGCTAATAATTTCTGAATTCTGACTGGCATATAACGAACAAATCAAACAAACGTAAACGGGCAAAGGCGGGGCCCATGGGCTGCAGCCCACTCAAGCCCAATGGTAAGTCCGGCCATGCCTATACCACATTCAGACAGCAGTGAGAAACATTACAGTAAATTGACAAAGAAGGAAAATCATGTTAACATGATAAAATAGCGAAATGTGGTATGTTTTAATATGGGATACAGCAGTGAATTCTATCATCCTAACATAAGTGTCATATTATATTTTTTTACGTGACTCTGACACTGTCCCAGTTTGCTAACAGTAGGCCTACCTATACATGGCAAACTAGGATGGTGCATTATTGATTAACGGAGGAAGCCATTTAAGTCATTTTAAATGGCCAGTTTTAAGGTTTCTTACCAGTCCAGCCCAGAGTGGAGCTCTAGTTTTACTCAGAGTAGTGCTCTTGCGGAAGACTGCATCCATAAAGCCGCAAACCACGCAAAGCCCCGCGCACGCCACCTGAAGGATGCCGAGGACCACCACACTCTTCTGATTGAAGATGAAATACCTGTAACGGTCCATCTCAGGCCTTCAGCGGAGAGAAAAGAATCAAGGAAAAGGGAATGTATTTTTATGTTGATATATATCATTTAAAAGAGAAAATCGTTCACTATTATGTCGCTGACGAGCTGTATCCTTTATCAAACGTTTAATGACTTAAAACCGTCACGACCGCTTTCGTTTGTGCGTTGATTCAGAAACTACAAAACCACTTTACTAACTTACTTTTACTAAACGCTATAATTAAGCTATGCTACACCCGATTTAATACGTATAAAGTGGTGTATAAGTCCTATAAATGAGAATAAATGTAGTATTTACCTGTGCCGTTTTTCCTTTATCACATCCGGACCGCTTATGTTTGGAAGCAAGCGGTGAAACCCAGCGTCACTCATTAACCTGGCGCGCGCGCGCGCAGCTGCAGCACGATGACCACGCCCTCACAGTGTGGATATTTACAGTGTTGACCTAATTACTTGGGCATTAAACATTCCTCCATTTTGGCTTAGATAAAACCCGATTCATATTTTCTACATTTTATCATTATATTATAGTAAAGAACACTGAAAAGATTAGTCAAATTGTGCTCTATGCTGGAGTTTTTATTGATAAATCTTTGTTGACAGCTTTTGCATATTGAAGTTCAGTTCAGTAGAAAGATTTCTCTTAACCTTGTGCCTTTTTCTCAAATACTGTACATTCTGTTCAGTCTTTTCCCCATATATACAGTACACCTTACTTAACTTAATTTTAATGGTGTAAATCTTTCAGTTTTTCTTGAAAAAAAAATCATGTAAATAAACAGCTTTGTCTGTGTAATACTGTACCTCGAGACTACTAGAGCCTATTTAAACATAACTGTAGCTGTTCGCACATGCAAAAAAAAAAGGGGGGTTTGGGGAAAATAAGGCTGGAGAAACAAGGCAATTTCGGATCACTTGACATGGACTCTCGATCCTCTCGGCAAGAGAAACAGCAATAAATAATTAAAATGTAAAAAATTAGACTGCAGCAATTGACATTTCGTCAGAACCTCTAGTAGACAAGCTATTTTAGACCTGGCTGATTTAAAAATATCATTTTGGCAGCCCCTGAAATGGGTCGTATTGACATTACCTGAGCGGTTGAAGAATACGCTACAGCGCTCATTCAAAGACGTGCATTCATTGCTTGGACGGAGCAAGAATACCTAAAATGCATGTGTAGATTCAGGCGAGTGATAAAGTTTACCGTCTTCAACTTAATGCTATTGAACTGAATTTATGGAGCAAAAATAACCATAACATTAACAGCACCGCTGGCTGAAATAAGCGTGCGGTACATTGTGTAAATCAGATCAGGTCAAGGTTTACTAAAATAATGTTTGATTCTAGGGCCATAGTGAGCTATTTCAAGCTAACTCAGCTAATAAGTCACAAATCAAAAAGGTTCTATAAATGTTTATATGATTATCAAAGTAATACTACACTTGAAATCATAATTATAAAAATAATGGTTGAATTCCTTTAGTGTTTCAGGCAAGACGTGTGGGGTGGTCAAGGATGAAACATAAAATTATGCCACCCACTGTTACTGGACCACCTGAGTTTGAAAGGACATTTCGTGCACAGTAAGATCTTCACACTCTTTTCATTCATGAAAAATCATATAATGTCAAAAAAAAATCTAGTATGATTGGCAAGTTATCACAGGTAATCCTACCTTGAATAAACCTGTACAAACAAGTCATCAAATATTTTAAAAAATTGTCCCTCCACTATTTCTTTAGCCAGAATAGCATAGAGTCACATTTTCTTGGTGGTATTGTGGATCTCTGGCATCTTTTGCAATGAAGGTATGTTACATAATATACTACTATAGGCTAATTATATCTATAACAATGAATAATAATTCAATATTTATGGTGGACAAATAAAAACAAGGAACCATTATATAGCTTATAAAAAGAAAATGTTTCCCTTTTCACAGTGCTTGCTGCTCTTGGAGGACTTCTGTATATTGTGGGCAGAGAGATGTACTTTACTGGCTATATCCGTGAAAGCAAGAAAAGGTGATAATCAAAACAAGTTATTATATATATTTTTATATGACATTATATTCTGTAAAGTCAAGTCATAACACATTACAGCCTATTCTTGCCTTTGTTTCTAGGTTGCCAGGGTTTTATTTGGTGTTGTGTGCCCTGTTATTCCTAACTGTGACGGCTACCATTGGAATAATTCAATCATTTTTGAACAAATATCTCAACACCAGACTTCTCTAAATCGTTTAATTAAAATTTTCAAAAGTTTTTTTTTCTTTACCAATCTATTAAATAAAAGGCATGTAAAATCTATGTTATGGATGTTTCAGGTCAACTTGACGTGTTTGTTTCATGTGTCAGTTTATTCTCATTCTAAGATTCATATTACAGTATTAATTCAGAGAACCCAGTGATAAACTCACCACTAAATTGTTGTTGAAAGCGTGATCTTTAGTGGACGTCATGTGGACTGAATTGGAATTCTAATATATTTTGTAAGTTTTTACCAAAATTGAGTTTGATCTTCAGACCTAGTGTGTCAAAACTGAGAGATAGTCAGCATATTTGTGCTATTTCAGGTCAACAGGGAGAACTGGGTCTTCTTATGAATACAAATTGTCCTGAGGAACATTAAAACTTTATTGTTTGTCACCCTGTCCTTTGCATTCATATTTGCACATTTTTGAACATATTAGAACTTATAGGTTGAATTTAAAAGGAATTAATAAACCAATAAACTCTTACATCTTTTATCTTAAATCCAGCTTTTATCAGGAAATTTGCATCACCTTTCCATGTGTCACATCGTTATCACATAAGTAAAAAAAAAAATCTGTGTAAAAATGTAGTTACCATGCACTTGCTTTAGATGAACCTTGCAATTATATTTTCATGTACCATTCAATACACCAAATCATTAACTTAGTATTGACGTCAAGTACTTTAACTGTACTTAAAAATGTATTGTCTTGAAATGATTGGCTGTGGTTGTAACACGTTTTACAACAACAGGACACTTCCCCTTGTTTCCTGCCTTGTCCACTGAAGAAACTTCCAAATCTTCAAGGCAGCAGATGCCAGAATAATGCAAAAGGGTTGCATTGTAGCCATTTTCATCTAGACCATCATATAGAGTTAGGTTGCTAAAACTTGGACCCACCGAATAAATTTGGGTGTGATCAATTCCTGAACCGTCGCCATCTGACATAATATAAGTCACTTCCAAGATTGTATTTCCAAATGACAAAAGACAATCTGAACTCTCATTTATCACACGACACATTGGTGGAGTAAAATCTGTTACCTGAAAATAAAATAAATTATATTTCTTTCAATTAAATTCCATAGTAACTGCCTATCCAACTGGGAGAAGTAAAGCTGTAGAGACTAATAGCAGGTAACTGGACTATTAAAAGCTGAATTGCCCATTTTACAACTGTTTACATTACACCTACAACAAACAGAAGTTGTACTTACATTCAGTATAACATCTGGTCTTTCTCTTTTTACCATGTCAGCATCTTTGATAGCTTCATTCTCTCTGAAGACATCATCACGGTGTGAAAAAGCCTGTGACCATCCAGTCAGCATGCAGAGAACGACTGTCTTTGCAATCTGAACCATTCTGGTCAACTGTGAAAAGATAAATAAATAATTAAATACATATATACACTCATTGCCAAAAGTTTTGGCAGTGACACATTTTGTGTTTTGCGAAGTTTGCTGCTTAAGCTGTTGTGGTGTTCATTCACACGTTCATTCACATTGTTTCTAGATTATTGTGTAGAGTGATCAGGTGCATTTGAAATAATTGCTAAAAGCTTCATTGGCCAAAAAATTCACTTTTCACAAAAAAACTAATTTCACTGTTTCTTGATCCTGACACAAAATGACCAGCTAACATTAATTGACTAATCTACAGGGCTGTACAGTGCGACATATATGCTACGACATATATGCACGTGCTACGAAAAAACTGGTCTGTGCGATGAATAAATTTACCACTGTAGCACGCGTGCGATACAGTTTTGCATGTTCATAACACAGCCGCTTAATAGTGTGAAGTGATTTCGTTGTGCTTGTTTGTGTGTGTGAGATTGATTATACTTGGTAGTTGATATGACGATTTTTGAATGTCTCCACGATCTGCTTTTGAAGAAATATCGTTGTATCGTGCTACAGCGCACATTCTATCAGCTGCAGTTCTGGTGCCTCCCTCCGTCTCAATATACTGTACAACGCCACATGCATTCACATCAGTGTTAGCTCTGCTGTGGAGTTACTCTCACGGGTACTTTCAACCTCTGTAGCACCAGTGCTATGTGAAAAAAAAGTTAATGTACAGCCCTGAATCATATCAGCAGCACATGTGAAAGTGTGAATGAGTAAAATCACTATCATACTAATTAGATTGTAAGAGCAGACTGATTGCTATAAATTGTGTTCAATTTGCTATAAATTGTGTCCAATCATTGTGTTCTTGTTAGCAATGGTTAACTCCAAAGAAACACGTGCAGCCATCATCGCTTTGCATCAAAATGGCCTCACATGCAAGGAAATTGCTACAAAGAATATTGCACCTGAAAGAACCATTTACCGGATCATCAAGAACTTCAAGGAGAGAGGTTCGACTGCAGTGAAGAAGTCTTCAGGACATCCCAGAGTGTCCAGCAAGCACCAGGACCGTCTCCTCCTCAAAAGGCGAGTGGACAAGCAGAAGCCCACAAATTGTGATAAACTCCGAGAACTAATAAGGCAAGAATGGATCGCCATCAGTCAGGATTTGGCCCAAAAGCTAGTATCCAGCATGCCAGAGTGTATTGCAGAGGTTATGAAGAACAAGGGTCAACACTGTAAATATTGACTCATATTTTTTTGCCAATGAAAGCCTTTAAAACTTATGATATGCTTATCATTGTTTTTCAGTATACCATAGAAACATGTGGAAAAATAATCTACAAATACTGAAGCAGCAAACTCTGCAAAACACAAAATTTGTCACTGCCAAAACTTTGGGCCATGACTGTACATACATACATAGAATGGTTAAAGTTTATGCTTTTTTTTTTTTTTGGTAGGAGAATTAATTTCCATTAAAACATTCCATATTGTATGTTTATATTTTATGTAGCCTACTCTAAAAAGGCTGTTCTGTTTCATTTAAGTTCTGTTCCACTTTTAATACCTTTTTCTGCACTGCAACAAATCATTTTCTTGAACAGTATATTGTAACTTTAACAGTAACACATTTTAAGATCTTTTATATATAAGATAACTAACAA